TTGGCCGTACAGCAGTATAAATAAATAAATAATTAATATGGCCTACAAATGGAAATTGTGTCACAAAGACTTTTAAAAAACAAGATGAGACTACACCAAGCAGTATTATATATATTCAAAATACAACCAGTTTCCAAGCTGTGTAAGTCCAGATAACGTGCAGCATTCCCCCATCCCATCCAGGCCTTGACTTGTGAAATCAGCTCTCTTCCTATTGTGAGTTATATTTCAAGTCAAACTAGAATGTGTGTATCACTGATAGCATAGAATTGCTATTGCTGATCTCAAATTCTTACTCTTATTTGGTCTCTCTGGCAGTCAAATGGTAAGGTTACTTTAAAATAAAGAGCGTTATGGTTTTGTGATGGTACTTTCTTTATAAAATGATTATGGTGATATGTTTGCCATACCTTTCATTAATATTTCAAAACAATGTGGTCATAAGTAAAGGTAGCTGTTAGTGATGAAAAATCCCGTTATTCATGTTTCATGTTATCAGACCCTTCAGTCATAGAAGCTAATTTACCTATGTACAGAATTTGTATAACAGATTTAATTTATACTGTATTTTAACAGTGTGCCTGAACTGTTTATGGTTTCTAAATTTTGTAACGTGAGTGTAAAATTAAAAATATTGATATGGGGTTAGCCCAGATTTGGAATGTTTTTAATATGTATATATTCATTGTGTGAAGGGTTTTAGATATATTGTATACTTATGGTGACCATATTTTCTTGGAAAACATAAAGGACAAACCTGAAAAAGGGGCAAGTTTAAAAGAGGTTCATAAGGATAAAATTTTTTAATTGTTTATGTTTTTAACTTTGCCTTACAAAGGAAAATTCAAGGGCAAAACCAAGAAAAACTACAAAAACACATATTTTAATAAAATTATCTAAAACCAAAAAGTATATGTAAATTTATTTTAAAAAGGCAATACAATTTCCATATTTTTCACATGAATGTAAAAGACTGTACATTAACTGGTACTACTTGTACAGTAAAAGTTAAATGACCAAAATAAAGGACAAAAGTGAGTTTTTGA